CTCACTCGTTGTTTTGCGTCCCTTAATGGGGCATGCGGTCCATTTCTCACGAGGTCGACTTCCCCCGCAACATGACACTTCCCACCTCGGCGTGGCCCGGCGCCGCCCCTCTGGCGGCCCCCCCTCGCGTGCGCGGTTGTCGAACCCGCGACCCGTCCTCGTCGAGTGCGACGCTCGCCCTCCCGCTGACCCGTGCGCGAGGGTGTCGTAACCGCAACGTACGAGATGTACTCTGAGAAGTCTCCGAATTAGTAATGTAAGATTGTTTGACGGTATGATAAAACTCACCGCGCCATGAAACATTTTACGACAGCACTTTCAACCTCAAAGCTGAAGTAATTTGCCGTGACAAAATCACCCCTAGGAAGTGGAGTAGTTTGAGTTCGATCTGTGCCTGTTTTTGTCCTAACTCGTGCTTGGTTGTGTTTCAGGAGCGGTTACACCGGCGGTCGCGATGCTGACGCGGCGGCGCGCCCGGGCGTGCCCCAGCCCCCGCCAAGGAGGCCCCCCCGAGCGCTAGCCGGCGCTAGCCGCCATGGCCGGGGTCCGGGACCAGCTGCGGACCTGCACGCCGTCGTCGTCGGTCGCCGTCTTCGTCGCCGCCTTCTTCGCGCTGACGGGGGTCGTCGTGGGAGCCTGGGTCCAGGACGTGCCCGCCCGTCTAGTCATCGGATATGGTGAGTCATCCGGTCCTTTTCACTGCCCAGCCCAGCCCGGCCCGGCCGGGGGGCGCCTGTGATGCGCAGGGTAGGCAACCCATCCGACTCGAGTTGATCAACCCAGCCAGCCCGTCCCCTATAGCCCTCGAACCGCGTTGGCCCCGACGCCACTGAAAATCATTGAGCACGCGCACTACTTTTAGTCCTGTCTGCGAGAGAGGGTCATACTGTTGGGTACCGCGACTCGACACACCACCGCGACGGCGGGCTAGTACTTGAGCGACTGGCTGGAGCCGTTCGCACTGCCGGGACGTGACGCTGCGTCGCTCGGGCCGGGGGAGCGTCCTCAACCTCCCGAGCGTCTGTACTACTTCGGACGTGATTTGAGGCGAATATCGAAGCGACACGGTTTGCCGAGGGGTGGTTGGGGGGGGGGGTCGGTTTTACTCCTCTCTTCCCCTCCCAAGGGACCATTTCCTCTCTAGCCGAGGCACCGCTGCTGTGGTGTGGAGATGGAAGGTATTTTCTTCGCATCGCTTAATCTGCTCTGCCCCGCCCGGAGCATGGTCGTGGGGCGGTGGAAAGGGGGGGGGGGTCTGATAGGGCACACCCTATCGCTCGAGTCGCTTGCTCGCCCCTCTCACCTGTCTCCCCCGCCCCCTATCTACTCCCCGCTGCGCTATACTATATAGCATTGGATGCCAATGAGGGTGCAAAAGGTTGAAAAAGAGGGCAGTCTATGGAGAGGGCCGAGATAGAGAGCAAGGGCAGGATGAAAATGGGGTGGGGGAGAGAAGGGAGAAGGGAGACGGGGCGATGGTTTGGTTCTTGCGGGCCGCCGCCGCCGCTCCGCCGGGGCAGTCGTACCCACCTCACGTGGAAGATGACAATAGCTGCATTGCAGTCCGTGGGAAAAAGGATTGTCGCTCTGGAATAGCCTTTGCCGGGCGGGAAATGGCCTGGTTCCATCTCTCTCTCTCTCTCTCTCTCTCTCTCTCTCTCTCTCTCTCTCTCTCACGGGGGACACATCTCACATCTCGCTGGAGCAGAAGCGTTCAGCGCCCGGAGGGATGGAGATTTAAACAGGGCCGTGCGCGACTTCTCACGTGGAAAGGGTGCGACCATGGCACGTGAGTTACTACTAGGGGACCCGGAGAGAAAAAGAAAATAGTTTCTCCAGTGGTTTTCTTTGAAAGGTAGACACTTACGCTGCCATATTTACAGTCAACGTTCCTCGCAAATATTTGCACAAGCGCGATTTTCCCATTTACCGATGCGGGCTTGGGCATAGAAGAATTAGAGAGTATGGTACAGTGCTGCTTATGCTTCCCCTGAACATCGAACAGAAGACAGCACTGCTGGAAACGTTTGGTTAGACAACATAGCCTAACCGTTATCGTTGTGAAAAGTGAAGGAAATGAGCGTTTTTCCTCGTTTGCCGTAGTATGACTTTTTGTTCCCTTTTGGCCTCGTGTGCTGTGATAACGCGCGGGTGGTCGTGTGTACGTAACCGTTTTGTAGGTCGGCTTTTCTATCTTTTGTCAGTGAATGCGCGCGCGCGCCTTTGCGCTGGCAATGTGACGCTGATTCCGCGGGAATGGCTTAAATCGTGTAGGAGTCTTTGTTGGGGGAGGGAACAAATAATTTCTATGGTTGGATATGGCATACGGCTGTGCTGCCGGTACCGCCTGCCACAAAGGGGTTAGAGTGGGTGGCGGCTGTGGCCCCGCCCTGCGCAGAACGACGAAGCTACCCTTTGAATTTCTCGCGGAGTGTCCACTGGCTATTTACAGAACTGAGGAGAAAAACACCAGAAGGAAGACCCCACCGATTGGGTGTTTATGGTATGCGTTCTCCTCTTTGTGGCAAATGACGAAATGTACCAAACAAAATAAATAAAACCAGGTTTGCACTGGAAGCCCAAGTCTGTGAATGTCGCTCTTTTGTAGGTGTGCGAATATCCGTTCGTACACTTCAGGGGGTAAACGTGCAAATTCTCTAGGAAAAAAATCACCCCTTTACCCCTCTAAGTGTGCGAATGGACATTCGCACACCTACAAATGTGCGACATTCACACACTTGCGTTTCCAGTGTGCTGATTTTCTCACAACCGCGTTGTTGAGAGGGAATCGGAGAAGTGGCGTCGCGTTAACTTTAAAAGTCTAAAGAAAAAATGGAAAACATTTTGGCACGAACTGCTTCCGGTTGGAGAGCTGTTGCGCGGGTCGGGCCGCGTACGTACAGGTGCGCAAGCGCCCAGCTCGTGGCCCCACGGTGACCCCAGTTAGCGTCGTCTGCCCCCCGCACCTTTACCCCCC